TTCACCATAAAAATGTGGTATAAAGACAATTTTAATAATAATGGATTATTTTTTGCTATTTTTTACTCTCCTGTCAATTAGAACTTGATTCGTTTTTTTTCTTTTTTCTTTAAACTTAATGTTACTTCTTTTCTTTCTTTTTTTTTTTTTTTTCGTACTCATTGGCCCCCAGCAATTTCGACGTGAGTCCGGGGACATTTAATGAAACAAATCCCCAACCTGGCGGTTATATTTCATTTTTGGAGCCGTCGTCTTCACAATGGTGATGGTGGTGATTGTCAGTGGTATTAATTCTGCCCTTCATCAATTCCGCCCAAAATACACAAACGGCTTCTCGGTGCGGTCAGCAGACAGGAGGTCTAGTTTCTCGCCATTTTAGACATCCTCCCCCGCTGCGATGAACATGCCACAAGTGTTTCCACGGTTTGCTGCGCAGCTATTGTTTGCAGCGGATGTTCTGCCCCCTAATTACATCATCGGTTATACGCTAGATAATTTCAGGAAGATATATATATATATATATATATATATATATATATATATATATAGAGAGAGAGAGAGAGAGAGAGAAAAAAAAAAAAAGGAAAAGAAAAGTTGCTCCTGTAAATGTGAAAAGTCAATGTTAAGTTCAATATTATACAATAATTCATTCATTCCTGTTTCCTCGTAACAAAAACAAACTGAACGTTGTTTTACGATATGACCAGAGGTCCTTAAACTGGGATTTGCGAGACCCAGATGGAGGGTCGAAAAGAAGAAACCAACACTACTTAAAGAAACTGGTCCTCTCAGGAAAATAGGGAAATATTTTTTGTAAATCTTTTTGTAGGTCAGCATTCGTTAGAACTACATGAAAAGGTGACATTTGTCACAGTCGACAAATATTTTTCTGTACTATATATATATATATATATATATATATATATATATATATATATATATATATATATATATATATACATACATACATACATAGATAGACAGATCGATAGATAATATTCGTGATCTATATATATATATATATATATATATATATATATATACACTTTTATTTACATTATTCGGACTATTGTCCTCATCTTTGTCGCCATATTTATCACAACGTTTCGGCCGTTGTACGCTCCGGCATTCTTCAGATGGTTGGAATGTCGAACTGAACCCTTTATTTCGCTCACTGATGAGGACAATAGTCCGAATAATGTAAATAATGTACATAATACCTCATCTCAGAAATATAGACATATATATATATATATATATATATATATATATATATATATATATATATATATATTCTTCTTTCTTCTGTTACACCTTCTCTCTCGAGCTTTCATACATTTCCCTCTCACACTTGTTTAGCACTCCCACACATACACTCTCACTAAAATGTTGTTTTTTTTTTATACCCGGAGTTATATTTTTCGATTTCTTTTTGAATTTGTCGGTCTGATGAATTGGATTGTGATTACGATTCCAATGGAATAAATTATAACCATGGAATATTAGAGTTTGAGCCTTTTATATCTCTATCTATAAAAGGCAGGATGTGTGTGTGTGTGTGTGTAACGAATGCGCGGCCGCAATTTTCGACGGATTTGCACCAAAATTTACATGCACATGTTCCAAGTTAGCGAGAAGGCCAAGATCGACTTTGCATTTCCCAACTCCCATCGATAGTGGAAATAATCGATTTTTTCATGCTTCTACGGCACTTTTCATGTAGTTTACGGCCATTTTCTACTCGCCAGAGTGAGAGCTGCCTGCTACGAATAGGCAAGAAAATTCTATTGGCCAGCGTGAGAGCCAACAGCTGACTGACACGAATGTTAACTAGCATGCTAGCATGCAAAAAAATCGATAGCTGCATTCGTCACAAGTGGGAAAAATTTAAATCTGCATGGCACTTTACTCCAATTGGCTTATTCGCTTGCTTAAACTCAACGTTGATTCTGATTCCACAGAACTGGGTTGGATGTGAAAAAGTATTTGTTGTTAACATTCTTTTTTCATTTGGTTTTTCCAGTTACGAGTCCTTTTTTAAAGCTGATCGTTTTGTGTTCATTTTGTTTAGTTCTTTTTTCGTAACAGATTTAATGTTTAGTATAGAGGTTAGAAAAAATTCGCAGTGTGAGATATGCAAGAAGTAAGGCATGTAGCAACATCAGCATGGCAAAGGGCACTCCTTTAAAGGCAAGGAAGGCCAAAAATATTTTAAGTCAAGTGATAGCGATTGCTGTATGAGTCGTACGATTTTTGAATCAAGCACGGCCAACGCCGGGCCATGCTTCTAGTATATATATATATATATATATATATATATATGTATGTATGTATGTATGTGTGTGTGTGTAAAAAACGAAAAGAATATAAATTCAAACGTTCATAACATTAATTTAAAAAAGGGCTCACTACTTACTACAAGAGTTATAAGAAAAATATGTTACGTAAGTGAGTTGTCACCCTTGGTAAACTGCACTCTCTAAGATCACGTATATCGTCAAACTAACCAATCACAAGCCAGAATATGTTGGCGCCAATTAGAAAGAACACTATTCTGTTTTTTTACTCTTCTAAAGTTTTATCGTCAAAATGTTTATGTTATTATTATGAGGAAAGAGCAAAAGATTTTTTTAATAAATTATATTTTTTAGCCTCTTTTCGAACCTTCGAAATTTTTGGTTCTTACGATTTCATCGGACATTGTTATGCTGGTGCGACTACACATGCGTATAAACGAGAGATACTGGGAATTTTATGACTCTGACATTTCATAATTCCTGACGGAACTTCTATTATCACAGTGTAGGATATCTAATAACAAAAGTGATGGAAACCAAAAGAATTTAAATGAAATCGACGAGGTAATATAAAAAAAATTCTAAATTTACCAGCATTATTCGTTCGTGTGCATCTTTGGTCACACCAGCATAACAAATTTAGTCCGATGAATGAAGTCTTAAAGGACGAAACGCGTCACACAAATACTTTTTCCACTTTGTCATACATTTTTTCCCAATATTATTTCTTGATATGTAAAAATATAAATCGTTATCTCATATAGATAGATAGATAGATAGATAGATAGATAACTAGACTCGTTTCGAAAAACCCTCGAATTTTTGATTTGCTAATCAAATCAATCTCGAGGGAAAAAAAGGTTTAAAAAAAAGAAAGAGCTACAAACATGAACTTCTATAGGTAGGTTTGTCTGGCTCACTAGGTGTATCTATCTATCTATCTATCTATCTATATATATATATATATATATATATATATATATATATATATATATATATATATATTCATGAATTATTCACACAAAAACAAATGCAAAGGTTAATGATTTAATTGGCGAGAAATCCATCGTCGCAAACAATTCAAATAATATACAAAAACCTCCGAATCCGTTATGAATGAAAAGATCCTTGTTTCTATAAATTTCTGCCGCATTAGTTCTTATTTTTACTACAAGCTTTCGTCTGTTCCTACAGACATCTTCAGGTATGGAATAGATGTTGTTCTTGTTTTTTCTCTTAGTAATAAGAGGACAACGAGTTATTGTAAAAAATTCATGAACGCACAACTGTAAAAAATTTAAAATCAAACTCAGCGTTGTTACTGCACGCTCCAAAAACAATAACTCATTTCCAATAGCATTTTCGGATACAACAATACATATATTTTCGTTGTCCCTATGCATTTGTTTTTGTGTGAATAATTCATGAATTTGTAAATTGATTGCACGTTTATCGAAATATATATATGTATATATATATATATATATATATATATATATATATATATATTGTAAATTAATTGATTTAAAATGTTTTTTTTCGCTACACAGTTCTAACCATGTTTCAAAAATGGAAGCTAAAAGCTCCGAATTTAATTTTGTAATTAAATTAAAGACATTTAAATTTTTTGAAGTAAAGTCTGATGATCCGCAGTCCTTTTAAATGGGCTGTGGTGAAATAATTTATTACATGGAACCTTAAAGTGGTCTGTTTTTATTTAAATTATTTGCTCTGGATTTACATTGAGCTCTCCGGATTTTATATTCCTTAGGTTTACCCATACGGATTACCTAGTTTTTTAATAAATTATATATATATATATATATATATATATATATATATATATATATATATATATATATAAATATTATTAATTGAAATCTTATAAGCATGAGAAACTATACTCGCTCAGAAAACCTTCGGTGTCTTGATTTTCAAATAAACAAGCCAATACAAAAGGGAAAAAAGGTATATAAAAAAGAAAGAACCAGTAACATGTACGTTAGCCGAAAACAATTATCCATCATGCAAGTCCAAAGCCCCCAAAAAAAAAACACGATACGAGTAAGTAAAATAACTAAATAAAGTGCTCAATACGGTAAGTAGAGCAGACCTACTTAAACCTAGAGAGTCTACCGTAGAAAGAAAGGGCAAACTACTGCGGGAAAAAAAATCTGCCTGTATCGAAAGATACATGATCGCCTAAGCGTGTATCTCACATGGCACATAGCTGACTGAGTGAATTTGATTTTTACTGGGTACTCCATTCTTTCGGCCTTGTGCCACAACACAGCCATACTTAGTAAATCACCTTATTTATTTTTCATTGTTAGTTCCAAAATTAACTTTTAGTTAACTGACTTTCTTTCCGTTGCTTTCCGGATTTTTTTTTTTTTAACCTTAGTTTTTTTTAGTTTTCAAGGTGAACTTATTTTTAATTTTATCCATTCATTCATGAATTTCAGTGACTGTCTCGTTGCTTTTATTTTCGGGAGTCTAGTTATTTATTTATTTATTTTCATTTGTTTCTTTATTTCTTGCCTGGTGTTAATCACCGGAGTGGAAACGTTTTTTTCTAATTCTATCGAGCCGGTCAGTTGATTTGCACTAAAAGATATTTACTGACCAACTGGTCACTCGGTAAGCGTCCAAAATCATAATTAAACCTCAATGACTTAGTCAGACGCTCGATTTTCGCCTGAAATGCGTTCACCTCAGCCGACACTGGGTGCATTCCTCCGTACCCGCTTCCCACTGATTCCTTCTATCGATCTATTTCTGTTACTCTCTCTCTCTCTCTCTCCCTGCCTGACTGCCTGCCTATCTCTCTATCTAGCTAGCTAGCTAGCTATCTGTTCATTATCTATCTATCTATCTATCTATCTATCTATCTATCTATCTCTGTTCATTATATATCTACCTATCTCACTGTACATTATCTATCTATCTATCTATCTATCTATCTATCTATCTATCTATCTATCTATCTATCTATCTATCTATCTCACTCTGTCCATCATCTATCTATCTATCTATCTATCTGTCTGTCTGTCTCACTATGTTCATTATATATCTACCTATCTCACTGTACATTATCTATCTATCTATTTATCTATCTATCTATCTCACTCTGTCCATTATCTATCTATCTATCTATCTATCTATCTATCTATCTATCTATCTCACTCTGTTCATTATATATCTACCTATCTCACTGTACATTATCTATCTATCTATCTATCTATCTATCTATCTATCTATCTATCTATCTCACTCTGTCCATTATCTATCTATCTATCTATCTATCTATCTATCTATCTATCTATCTATCTCACTCTGTTCATTATCTATCTATCTATCTATCTATCTATCTATCTATCTATCTATCTATCTCACTCTGTTCATTATATATCTACCTATCTCACTGTACATTATCTATCTATCTATCTATCTATCTATCTATCTGTCTGTCTATCTCACTCTGTTCATTATCTATCTATCTATCTATCTATCTCACTCTGTTCATTATATATCTACCTATCTCACTGTACATTATCTATCTATCTATCTATCTATCTATTTATCTACCTATCTCACTCTGTCCATTATCTATCTATCTATCTATCTATCTATCTATCTATCTCTGTTCATTATCTATCTATCTATCTGTCTGTCTGTCTGTCTGTCTCATTCGGTTCATTATCTATTTATCTATCTCACTCATTATTATCTATCTATCTATTTTCATTATCTACGTTAATTATTTATGTATGTTCATTATCTGTCTATCTCTGCTCATTATCTATCTATCTATCTATCTATCTTCCCGTGAACCGGGGTTTCAGTCCTACAAGCCATCTCTTGAACACCACCGCTTACGTTCATCTACTGAACTCTTTTGGTCTGCCCCGTGTATAAATAACTGCGAAATTCCGATTGGAGCTTTAGTCCGGTGTCTGAACTTAAGGGAAAAATGACAGTATTTCAAATGTTGATTTTTAAGGTTTGCTTTAAATAAGATCTACTTTTGTAATACAGTGACGCAAGCTTATCTATAACACCAATTCGACTTTTTGAAGGGCCGTGTACCTTTAAGACATGGCCGATCATGGCTCTCCACAAATTCGTATTACTTGGAGCACTGAGCACTGTTTGTTGTCTTTCTACTATTCCCTCTTACCCAATGCTTAAACTAAACCCATTTACGCAAGATCATTCGGTAGATTAATCGCTATTTTTTCTTCGTCTATTGCAACAAAGAATCGCCATGATTGCCCACTTCCTAAAAAAATGATAATGTTATTATTAATATTATTATTATAAAAAGAAAAAGTAAACGTAATGAATGTGACGCACGAACTAGATGTAGTTGTACATTTCGACGCTATTATGAACAAGTATGCTACCGGGCATAGTCCTGAATTAACTTGATTTGCTTACTGAGGCTCTTTTTCTCTGGTATGATTTTAGCCACGACTGACAAAAAAAATGTGAGAGTGTTTGTGTAGTTTTCGTTAAACTGAAGAAATATTATTTTATCACCAACCTCCCCCTTTCTTTCGCTCTCTGCCTCTTTTCCTTTCCCTCAACCCATCTCTCTCTTCCTCTCACTATATATATATATATATATATATATATATATATATATATATTGTCATCCACAGTATATATATATATATATATATATATATATATATATATATATATATATATATTGTGTTTCGCTGTATCACAGCTCATCAGTGTAGTAGATGTCCGGTTGTCCGGTTGCCTCTAGCTAGGGTCGAAACCCAGCTGAATCGGCGTCAGTCTGAGAATCTACTCTAAGCCGTTGGCACACTGCAGGGATGAAAGCGAATTTTAAGCGTAACCAACACAGTGTATATATATATATATATATATATATATATATATATATATATATAATTATTCACAAAAACAAATGCAAGGTTAATGATTTAATTGGCGAGAAATCCATCGTCGCAAACAATTCAAATAATATACAAAAACCTCCGAATCCGTTATGAATGAAAAGATCCTTGTTTCTATAAATTTCTGCCGTATTAGTTCTTATTTTTACTACAAGCTTTCGTCTGTTCCTACAGACATCTTCAGGTATGGAATAGATGTTGTTCTTGTTTTTTCTCTTAGTAATAAGAGGACAACGAAAATATATGTATTGTTGTATACTGCGCGCTCCAAAAACAATAACTCATTTCCAATAGCATTTTCGGATACAACAATACATATATTTTCGTTGTCCTCTTATTACTAAGAGAAAAAACAAGAACAACATCTATTCTATACCTGAAGATGTCTGTAGGAACAGACGAAAGCTTGTAGTAAAATAAAAACTAATACGGCAGAAATTTATAGAAACAAGGATCTTTTCATTCATAACGGATTCGGAGGTTTTTTGTATATTATTTGAATTGTTTGCGACGATGGATTTCTCGCCAATTAAATCATTAACCTTTGCATTTGTTTTTGTGTGAATAATTCATGAATTTGTAAATTGATTGCACGTTTATCGTAATATATATATATATGTGTGTGTGTGTATATATATGTGTGTGTGTGTGTGTGTGTGTGTGAATGTATGCGTGTGAATATATATATGTGTGTGTGTGTGTGATAAAATGCAGTTTTAAGGTATGCTATATTTATGGATTGAATTGCTCAATATCAGAGATAGAGCGTTTATAAAGTGAAGATTGAAGTCAACACCCAGAGGTGACAGAGTGTTTCATGCTAAACGCGATCGTCAGGTCATGACGATTTGCGTTTCAGACTGAAATAGGCCATATTTTTCATATATATATATATATATATATATATATATATATATATATGTATGTATGTATGTAATTTTGTCATTTGGGCAGCAATTCCTTATTAAACACGTTTCCTTAAAGACGACTGACAAGTTACTGTAATTAAGCTTTGTATTCACATTTTCTTGTTTTCGTATAAGTGTTTACTTCTCTGGACATAAAGTGTATAACAATTGTCCAGATCTTATGCAGATTCGAGCGCTTTTGGCTATTCTTTTGACCATTATCAAGGATGATATAATTTTTTTATGTATGTATCTAGAGTTATTGGAATTTTTTTCCGAACACGGTCAGCACACTGTGGCCGTATTCATAGTTAATGTTAATGTTATTGAGTGTTGGCTTTTTCTTTTTTATTATTAGTGTTTCCATTATTTTTAGTCTATTTTTTTACATGTGGATGAATCTATGATACCTATTTTTGCTACAAGTGTGCTGCAGGTGGAGTTTGTATGCATTTAAATTAATTTTAATCGAGCTATAGTCAGAGAGGTGTAATATGAGTCTTCTCGATAGGCATGTAGTTGTATGCTCAATATAATTATTCATGAATTTGGTTTGATCAGTGTTATATTCCCTGCTAATGGGAATATATACTTGAAAAACAAGGTGGATAAAATAAGTAAAGGTTTATTGTGAAAACCAATACAATGAGAATAAAGGTAACAGTTATGCACAAGGTCATCACAAATCAATCCAGTTGTGGGTGCTACTATTGGAAGGTCAGTAGTTATCACGTAAGTCTGAGTCGTACTCAACAGATCCCAGCTAGAAATATTTACCAACCTCCACACGGGATACGATGTGGCTCAAGAACGAATTTAATGTGGGGCAATCCGAGCCCATAGGCTTGGCCAAAAATTCCCTGTAAACCTCGCATAAACGGGTTCTGGTCTGTCTACCTCCCCAGACGAGACTGCCCTACGGCATAGGCGCGTCCGTATTCCTCTCTGTCAGAAGGCAGAGTGTTCGATAGCAACCAAGATCTGAATAACAGATCCCAGCTAGTCAATATTTACTAGCCCCACCCCTCCATGAGGGTAGATGTGGCACAAGGCCGAATTTAACGTGGGCTCGGCCAAAAATTCCCCGTAGAACCAGCATAAACGGGATCGGGTTGGTCTACCTCCCCGAACGAGACCCTGCCCTTCGGTATAGCCTCGTCTGGGTTCCTCTCTGCTCAACGGCGGAGAGTTCGACAGCAGCCACGATCTGAATAACAGCCAAGATCTGAATAACAGGGTCAGTCAACATCCTCGAACGAGACTCTGCCCTTTGGCGGAGCCTCGTCCGGGTTCCTCTGTGCTCAGAGACAGAGAGTTCGACTGTTCGGCTGGGACAAGTCGCGGCTAGTATATTTAGCTACTCCCCACAAGGTTGTATGTGGCACAAGGCCGGTTTAACGTGGGTTCTCAGAGCCCGTAGGCTCAGCCAAAAATAGTCCCTTTCGAACCCGTATAAACGAGTTCAGGGTCAGTCAACATCCCCGAACGAGACTCTGCCCTTCGGCGTAGCCTCGTCCTGGTTTCTCTCTGTCCGAAGGCAGAGAGTTCGACTGTCTAGCTATAACATGTCGCAGCTAGTCTCTGTAGTCCGTTGATCTACAGACACTTATAGGTGGTTGCTACCTATAGTGTAGTCACCCATGGGGGTAAAAGGTTATTCCATTACATCAATCAGGAACACAGTTCTTTCAGGGACATGTGAATTCATAAGTAATATTAGTTCTCTGTAATTTGGATAGTTGTTTAAATCTTTATAGTAAGTAATTTAATGTTCTTGTTCTGGTCGACTGGGGTTATGTATTCCTTTATAATGTTTCGAAGAGAAAATTCGTCTTATAGTTGTATAACGTGTATATGGCTTTTATGGTGGTGCTTGAAGTCACAGATTACTTCACATGTCTAAGTTCTACTATCACCAATGATACACACTTAAGCGATCATGTATCTTTCGATACATGACTAACGAGGCAGATTTTTTTCCCTGCAGTCGGTTGCCGTTTCTTTCTGCGGTAGATTAATTGCCATCCAAGGTTATAGAACCCGGTCTGTCCAGCTATTTGCCCATAGCAGGAGGGAGAAGAGGATTCATACCTTTCCCAAGGATACTGGCACGTAAGTGAATATCAGTCGTTGTTATGTGCCATGATTCACACGTCAGATTCATATGTGCCATGCATGATACTTAAGCGATCATGTATCTTTCGATACATGACTGACGAGCAGATTTTTTTTCCTGCAGTCGGTTGCCGTTTGGCTGCGGTAGATTAATTGCCATCCAAGGTTATAGAATATCTGTCCAGTTATTTGCCCATAGCAGGGAGAAGAGGATTCATACCTTTCCCAAGGATACTGGCACGTAAGTGAATATCATGTTATGTATCTTTCGATACTTTCGATACATGACTGACGAGGCAGATTTTTTTCCCTGCAGTCGGTTGCTGTTTCTTTCTGCGGTAGATTAATTGCCATCCAAGGCTATAGAACCCGGTCTGCTATTTGCCCATAGCTGGAGGGAGAAGAAGAGGATTCATACCTTTTCACCAAGGGTATTGAATGTAATGGATTCGACTGGAATTCGAACTGGGTTCTCCAACTCCTCAATCCGAGCCGCTATGGTCAAAGTGAATAAGAGAGTATGCGACAACAGTCAGCTGACCTGAAATAAAGGCAAAGCAGTTATGTGTTCTTAGTACACTGCTTCACGATAGCGACACCTGGACAACATACATCTGGTAGAATCACCTCTGGGATAGCTTTTATCTACACTGTTTACAGATTATCCTCGGCATCACATAGAGAGATAAAGTTACCAATACTGCTGTGCTGGGGAAAGCAGATTCATGGGACATTCATCTTCTCTTCTCAATGTCGTCGTCGATGGCTGAGTCACGTCAATTGAATAAATGACGGCCGTATACCATCATACTACATCATGTATGGTGAGCTGATCCCATACTACATTTCAAGGACGTTTGTAAAAATGGACCAGAAACGCACAGCCATCGACTGATAACTAGGAACAGCGAGGAGAAGATCGCAACGGCTGGTACCATGCTGTTCATGGAGGAGTCACGAGGGCCGGGAAAAGGTGAAACCAACTGTTGGAGATAAGAAGAGAACGAAGGAAGGAGAGAGAGAGAAAAATGCCAGACCTTCACTCCACATTCCAGCTTCATCTTTCTCCCGCGGAAGAATGTGTCATGCAAGGATTATCTATCTCAGTCTGTTCCTTATCTATCTATCTATCTATATATCTCTTTCAGTGTATTCACTTTCTATCTATCTATCTATCTATCTATCTATCTATCTATCTCTTTCAGTCTATTCAGTTTGTTTCTATCTATCTATCTATCTATCGCCTCCAGTGTATTCACTTTCTATCTATCTATCTATCTATCTATCTATCTATCTATCTATCTATCTCTTTCAGTCTATTCAGTTTGTTTCTATCTATCTATCTATCTATCTCTTTCATCTATTCATTTGTTTCATCTATCTATCTCAGTTTGTTTCTATTCAGTTTCTATCTATCTATCTATCGCTTTCAGTGTATTCAGTTTCTATCTATCTATCTATCTATCTATCTATCTATCTATCTATCTATCTATCGCCTCCAGTGTATTCAGTTTCTTTCTATCTATCTATCTATCTATCTATCTATCTATCGCCCATCTATTCGCTTTCAGTCTATTCAGTTTGTTTCTATCTATCTATCTATCTATCTATCTATCTATCTCTTTCAGTCTATTCAGTTTGTTTCTTCTATCTATCTATCGCTTTCTATTCACTATCTATCTATCTATCTATCTCTTTCAGTCTATTCAGTTTGTTTCTATCTATCTATCGCTTTCAGTGTATTCACTATCTATCTATCTATCTATTACTATCTATCTATGTATATATTAAGTTTTCTTTAATTTTTTATGGTCGTATCTTTTGGCCTTCCGAAGCCCGCAGACACGACAATAAAAATGATAAAACTTAAATCGAAACAGTTAACTGAAGACCTATTATTTGAAACAAATATATATACATAAATATTTTATCAAATTAAAGTAAAATAAAGCATAATAATTACATAAAAAATAAACAAACAAGAGGATAAAAATTCAATAATAACATTTACTCGCTTTCATTTATAGGGCATTAAATTATATCACTTAACGACTTTCGTAGTTTACCTTCACTTACACAGGTAGCTTTAAGAATATTTCAGAGCGTTCTTAAAATGTTGAAATGTTAACGATATTTTTCTCCCACCATGTATTTACGATGATAAAGTCTTTCAGGGGACGAAACGGGATGGTAAAAAAAAGTTTTCTTTTCGTTTTTATTATTATTTTACAGATATATTTTATTTATATCTAAACCTTTTTACACACACACACACACACACACACACACACACACACACACACACACACATAAATAAAAAGAAAGAACAGTAAGATATATAATCCGGTGTTCTTATAGATATTTTTATTTTTACAAAATAGTAAATTTACAGAGCATTAATATTATAAATTGATTTATTTAAAATTTAAAATTCGCTTGAGGATGAAATGAAACTAATGTCTTTAATTTAATTACAAAATTAAATTCGTGGCTTTTAGCTTCCATTTTTGAAACATGGTTAGAACTGTGTAGCGAAAAAAAACATCTTTTAAATAAATCCATTTAATATATATATATATATATATATATATATATATATATATATATATATATATATAATAAAAACGCACAAACATTAATATTACATAATAATAAATTATAGTTATAAATTTTTTAAATTGCACACGAACTTTATGGACACTCTGTATTCACATATATATATATATATATATATATATATATATATATATATATATATATATATATATATATACAAGTGTCTATAAAGCTCACGTTACTTAAAAAAATTTATAACTTTATTTGTATTTGCGATAGAAATAATCTGTAAAAATGTTATAAATTTTAATGTACCTAGTTTTAAGTATAGCTAAAATAACTAATGTGATTTCGGTCATTACTGTAAATCAGTTGTCAAATGTTTTCCGTGAACTGCAAAATCGTATTACCCTTTGTATTGCTAATGATGGAGGACATGTGGAAACTTAAATAAAATTTCAATAAAACCTTCAAAAATATCGATTTACTTCTTTCTAATCCTTTTTACAAATTATTTCTATCGCAAATACAAATAAAGTTAGAAATTTTTTAAAGTGCACACGAACTTTATGGACACTCTGCATTCATATATATATATATATATATATATATATATATATATATGTGTGTGTGTGTGTGTGTGTGTATGTGTTTCAATGGCCTCGACGTGCAGGGCACCGGGCGCTTTCGGCTAATTCATTTGTTATTATCAAGGTTTTTTTTTTTTTTTTTTTTTAACTGAAGATGCACATTTTATTATGTACGTATCTATAAGGATGGAAATGTTTTGTTTTGTTTGTTTTTTTTTTTTAATTTCTGAACACGATCAGCAATTTATGGCCGTGTTCATAATTGATACTATTACGATAAAATAAAAGATAATGGCTAAACTATAACTACTTCCTTGCCTACCTGCCTGTTCATGCTGTCAAAACTAATGCACCACACCCCGCTCCCCAGAATGATTTCTTTTGCACCTGTTACATTTTTTTCCGACACCCATAACTGCTCACCCGATATCCTATAACATGCAAGCAACAGTTTACGTGTGTAGCTATATGCTTATGCCACGCTGTAATCGGATTGAGACATGAAAAATGGACGGTTGAGTTTACACAGGATGGCACCTGATGCGATGATTACAGCTGCAGTCGGACATGTGTGAAACTCATCAGGAACAGATTATAAAAACGTAAAGATAATTACATACTATTCGTTGGAGAAGTTTTTTTTTTCTTTTTGACGGTCTCTCTTCTTATAAAATCTTATTTCCCTCTTTAATTTTGATAATCATGAGTCTGTCTGTCTATCTATCTATATATACATATATATATGTGTGTGTGTGTTGCATGTGTGCCAGCTTGCGTGTGCGTCTGCTCATGTGTATGCATCTTATTTCTCCATCTATCTATCTATCTTTGTATCTATCTCAGTGTATTCATCCTATTTCTAGCATTCTATGTATGCACACACACACAAACACACACACACACACACACATATATATATATATATATATATATATATATATATATATATATATATATATATATATCACAGTCCATGGTCTGTCTATCTATCTATCTATCTATCTATCGATCTCAGTGCATTCATTCTCTTCCTACCATTCTCTCTCTCTCTCTCTCTCTATATATATATATATATATATATATATATATATATATATCACAGTCCATTGTCTGTCTGTCTATCTATCTATCTATCTATCTATCTATCTATTTCAGT